ACGAAAACCGAAATATTAGATATTAGGTTTTATTGGTTTTTTAGAAATTCCTAGATTCTTTGAGATTCAATGAACTTTTTCAAAGGCATGTTTCAATCTCGAGAGTGCCCTCCAAGTTTTGTGACTGGGATACCGAGGATCACAAAACGAGGTGTGAAGTAACCATGCAAATCACTTGGTACCCTTAAAGTTTATCACTCAATCGATGTGCCGGTAAACCACACACGCTCCACCGATACTATAATAAACCTTAAGTCACCCTTTACCTACCTTGTTAAGTCCAAGTTAGTGTGCCGGTTAACCACACACGCTCCACCAACGACTTAGACAAAGTGTAAAGTGTAATTTCATGGATTAGCACCTTATTCACATTTTCCTAAAGTAACTAAGATTGGGAATTTAATAAAATATTTTTAGTTACTTTATAATATTCATCATACTTTGAATGAGAATTTATAAGTCCTTGTCTTACCCGTTCGGCTAACGACCCTCCACCAGTCAAGCAAGCGGTGGGTGAGAGTAACACCCATTAAGTCACCATTTTATAGGCAACAACCTTATACCCACCTTATAGACCGGCTTCGTGAATGAGGCGTACTAGCGGTAAGACGACTTTATTCTTATACATATATATAATTATTAAATCATCATAATATAAGTATAAGGGTTGAATTTTAACTTTTAAAATTCTAGGGGTTGGAACTTAAAGTTTTAACTTAACTTTACTTGTTCCAAAACTTGAGGGCAAGTTTTGTAACTTTCAAAACTTTTCATTTCTTGTAACTTATGAGTTTAATAGAGTAATAAAATGAAGACTCTTCATTTTTCTAACTCTTGTATTTGTTTTAATGGTTTTAACTCAAGTGTGACTCTTGGTTTTCCATAACTTGAGGACAAGTTATGGACTCCATTAAAACACATTATGATCAAGAATTAATCTACCACATAGGTTACAAATAATTTATGATCATCTAAAACATCATAAGAACAAGAACATGAATATGAACACAATCAAAAATTACATTTAAAACTTTGTAATTTTGATAACTAGTTGTTGTAAATGAATTAGCAAAGACATTACACCACTAAAAACAAGTTTTCAATTACCAAAACAGTTTAGGGTAATGTTTCTAATTCATTTCCAGCAACTGAATCGAAATTCTGCAATCAGTCCACCCTACTCGCCGAGTGCATGAACTCACTCGCCGAGTTGGTTGAAGATACTCATGAACTCGACGAGTCCCCCCTATAGACTCGACGAGTCCATTCGCAGACAGCAAGATTTTTCGATTCTTTTTTTCAACTTTTAAGCACAAATAAGAGCAAACAAGCCTAGGCTTTGATACCACTGATGAGTTTTGAGCATTCTAACACTTCCTAAGTGTACATGCAACCCTAATAACCTTGGATCTATGTTTGTCTAATTATCATGCAAAGTTGAATTCCAAGGTTATATTCCTATCTAGCATACATGGGGAACAATTTTAACTTAAAGTACAGATAGAATAACTTAACTTGTTGTTGTTTGTGTTCCTTGAAACCTTGTGAGCCTAGCACCCCAAGTGTGATGCCTCAAATGCTTCACACAACACCAAATGCTCTTGGAAGAACTTATGAGAGAACACACACTTCTCAAAATCGGCCAAGCCCTCTTGTTTCTTAGTGTAGGACCGATTTTAGGTGGAGAACATGTTTCTTATATAGTGTTGACACATCTAGGGTTACACCCTAATGTGTCATGACTCTTCATTTCCATGACCCATGGGTTTGTAACTCCCATGGAGCATCCTATGGGTGAAACCCAACTTGATAGTCCATGGAGCCTTTTAGCCCACTATACAAGATATGGATGATTTACATAATCAACCCATATATTTAATTAGTTATCTTTTGATCACATAATTAATTCTAAATTAATTCTTGATCAAACTAATCAAATAATATTATTAATATATTAGAACTTATAATATATTAATAATCTCCAAGTGTTATTTCTCTCATTTAGTCTATCCAATTGCATGGTGCCATGCAACCCAAATGGACCATGCCGGGTCGGGTCAAGTACATACCAGAAATAGTTATGGACTTAGACACCTTATCCAACACTCCGATGGTGGCTGGCTATCGCGAGAAGGGGTGGTCGATTTCCGGTAGCCTTCAAAAAAGAATCTCACACATGGGTGTTTGGATTGTTATTTTAATCGACAACATTAATGGAGAAAGGAACGAGGCTGCCATCGGTTGCTTCATCAACGAGGGTGGCTCCGATAGCTCTTGGTTGTCACTCTAACATCTGTTGGTAAACATGAAGAAGGAGAAAATGAAGGCAATGGTGGTGAGGGGTTGTTTCCAGCAACCTCTGATCTGGGAGTAAAAATACACAGGAGAGGGGATGGGCTGTTGATCTCCGACGAGCCTTTCTTGGTTCTTTTTGCCTCATCGCCGACAACAATCAACAGAAGAAAAGCAATAGCAACAGTTTGGTGTAGAGTGGTGTTCGGTAATTGCTTGATTTCACAAGGGGAGGGGGTTGTTGTTCTTGGTGGTCACCGAAAATGCACCCACCTCTAGCGGTGTTTCGACCATAAAAATGAAGAAGAGAGAGAGAGAGAGAGAGAGAGAGAGAGAGAGATGGTGGGCCCAAATTAATTAATTATTTTCTTTTTCATTTAAATTAAATAGAAAAAAACATATTAAATAAATCAGAAGGGCATTATAGTCATTTCAGTTTACTGAGGGACCAAATCCGCAAAGAAACTAGCTTAAAAGGACCGCGAATCTAAAAAAGTCGTGGTTTGGACTAAAACCTCAAAAAAATGCATACCACAGGGACCATTTTTGCAATTTTGTCATATATATATATATATATATATATATATATATATATATATATATATATATATATATATATATATATATATATATATATATATATATATATATATATATATATATATAGGAGTAGGATCAAATGAGAACACCTTAAAGGTTGAAAACGCGAGAACATATCTGGATCATCTAATTTTTAAGATGTATGGCTATTATAAATTGTTATTTTTCTAATTATTAATAGATTTAAATATTAATTTTTAAATTAAAGAAAATTATAAAGGCTATTAAGGTAAATAAACATTACCCTAATTTTGTAAACTCCTATAATTACTCTCTGACGCTTTATTTCTTGACCTAATCTCATAGATCGACATCTTCAACATATCACCGCCTCATCCCTACGCCACCATCAGACCTCATCATCACCCAAACTGATCATTAACGTTGCTGCCATCTGTGGTTCCACTCGCAAAGCTCCCTTCCATCATGGCCTCATCCGCGCCGCCATTGAATTAGCCACCCCAAGCGATCGACGGGATGTCGATTGTAAACGCCGACATATCGCTGTTGCCGACGCGCAACACAGATCTCGAAGTCAACGACAAATTTCCACCGGAGGTCGAAGAATTTCGTCAGAAGATTGTTCAATCTGAATGTTTCCTCTTAGCTTCTCCTGAGTACAATTACATGGTTACAACACCTTTGAAGAACGCAATCGATTGGGTATCTAGGCCACCGAACGTGTTTGTCGATAAGGTTGCTGCTATTGTTAGTGTAGGAGGTGGGTTTGGCGGAGGGCTGGCACAGTATAGTCTCCGGCAAAATGGTGTTTTCCTTGATCTTCATTCCATTAATAAGCCAGAGTTTTTCCTCAAGGGGACGAAGAGAACAGTGGTGCAGGAGGGATTTAAAAATTTAGCGGTTCATGAAAGGAGGATCGAATTCGATATGGAGGATCGAAAGAGGTAGTATTCATTTGTAGTACCCTTACTTCATCTTAAAAATTCTCATAATTGACGCGTCTATTAGGAATGCGATATAATCAGAATCTTTGACTCATTTGAGATAATTTTTAAGTTCAGTTTTGATTAATAGATGTTTATTAGGTCTTGGTAGTTCACGTTCATACTCTTACCTGTGTTCTTTTTTTTTCCACTAGTTAAAAACCATATTTAATTTGTATATGTTCTGAGAATCTATGAGGTTTGAAGCATTCTTGATCTATTGCTCTATGATACTTTGTTTATTGCGGTTCCCATTTTAGCACTAGAATTCTGATCTTAGTGTGCTTCTCTGTTCGTCTCCTCTGATGCATTAATCTTAGAGAAATGATTCAGAATTTCGTATGATTTCATTTTCATCCCTTCTTATTGTTCTAACTCTTGTTCATATATTATGAATGTGACTGTTAATTTATCAATATAAATTTAGTTGTAATCTTATATGAATACAATGTCAAATGTCTTATTTTGCAGTTAATCATCAATGAATATAAGTATACTGTAACTGCATGATTTTATATATTAATGATTTATGTTTTGAATAGGTGCAATTTAGAGCTTGATGTTTCGAAGAAGGATAATTGTAAAGCATGGAAATGCAACACTCTTCGTTTCTATATGTATGATAGCAACAAGAAAATTGGAAGAAGAAAAACAATGTTGGCATTTATTTATGATTCACTTTATATTCATTTATGAATATAACTACTGAAAATATAGGAATGTAGATTTATTTTGTATTATGGTAAATGTATTCATGTATGATTAGAGTTGTATTCATTTATGATTGTAATTAGAGGCGTATTTATTTCTAATGAAATGACGAATTCTTAATCATTTTTGGATATCAATTCATGAACAAAAAACAAAAGACAAATCCAGTCACGACATTTTTATTTATGAATATGACACTATTTGATAAAACTAAATCATGAAATTAGTAAACTGTTATATATTTTCAATCAATTGTATACTCAATAAATTAGTTTAATATTTATTCATTTAAGGACAAGAATCACATAAAGCAAAATAAAATCATTTGAAATTGATAAAAAAAAAATTCTCTTTCATTAATGGTATAAAGAAAATGGAAAAAAATCCTTTTTTTTGGTAACAGTCAATTAAAATTCCAAAAATTTAGGAAAATATCATTTTATTTTATTTTTTATAATTTAATTAAAAGACAAGTTTACCTACATGCCCTTATATATTGATTGGTTCATAACTGTTCTTGCGTTCTCAACCTTTTAGGTGTTCTAATTTGATCATTTCCCTATATATATATATATATATATATATATATATATATATATATATATATATATATATATATATATTATATATATATATATATATATATATATATATATATATATATATATATAGGGTTAGGTTCATTTGAGACCACCTATATTTTGTGAGACCGTGAGATGCATTTTTTTTATTTATTTTTATTATTTTTTTTAGTTAATTCAAGTTCCAAAAATAATATTTAAAAAAACAATTTTTTGATTTTCCATTTATTTTGCATTTTAAAATTATTTTTTAGAATATGTCAGAGTAATATTCTATTTAGAATATTTCACGTATTTTTCAAAAAAAAAACGAAATTTTTTTTATTTTGTTTTATATTTTTTTAGTTAATTCAAGTTCCGAAAATAATATTTAAAAAAAGAATTTTGGATTTTTCCATTTATTTTGCATTTTAAAATTATTTTTAGATTTGGTCTCACGGTCTTACAAAATTAGAATGGTTTCAAATGAACCTGAACATATATATATATATATATATATATATATATATATATATATATATATATATATATATATATATATATATATATATATATATATATATATATATATATATATATATATGGTTAGGTCATAAATTATTAAATTGAAGAAAAAAGAAAATTATCATCTAACTAAAAGAAACGGATATATAAGGGTAACAATGTAAAATTTTCTTTTACTACAAATTAAGCAATACCGTATTATTTGGTAAACTATCGTAACCTCCCCTCATTTCCAAACGTAGTCAATATCCAATACTTTTCCATGGGAGCTTAAATTTGGAATTTATTTTCAAGAATCAAAACTAATTACAACCCATTTATAAACCTACTAGTTTCTAACTCATGATAACTACGGTTAGAAAATTAATCAATCTTTTATAGTAAAATTCAAAATTATTAATAAGTTATTTTAAATAAATTATTAATTTAAGAAATATTTTTATTAGTTATGTAAAATTATAATCATTGATTCAAATAAATATATAAAATTAATTTTAATATATATTAGATATTTTGTAATATATTTTTTATTTCTTGAATTAATGAAAACAATAATTTAAAATTTAAAATTTAAAATAAGATCACATTAATGAGGAGGTATAATAAATTTAAAATGAAAAACTTATATATTAACAAGTGGCAACATATTAATTAAAATATCTAATATGATGACACATAGCAAAAGAACTATTCTTTTATTAGTATAGAGATTTATATATATACATAATAAATCGAGACAGCATAGAGTATTCTTATAGAATGAGAAATCTAAGATTGTTTGCATTACTTTCTTTTAGAATAACAATATTATCCCTTGGTTGGTGATTTGATTTTTTTTTGTGTTCTAAGTGTAAAATTATGTGTTCTTGGAAAATTTTGCATTTTATCATAATCATGCTTTTAAAATGAACTAGTGGTATTGTTAGTTACACTATAAAATTAGAAAAGAATCAAAGCTAGTAATATTTTATTTGGAAAATGTACGTTAATCATAACGATGATTTTACAATCAACAAATTTTGTTGTTTATTAAATTATTAAATTGTGAAAAAATATCTTGGCTATCAGATGGAGTTGACTAAAGTTTTGAGTTTGGTTTGGTTTTAAAAGTTTCAAAACCGTGGCTATCAGATTTGGGTTTGATTTTAGGTCAAAATTGATCCGACCCGTCCTATGCTCAGCCGTTGCGGTGATACCCGGAAAAAAAAAATTAGGATACCCCTTTGCTTTGAGTCTGGCTCCGCCACTGATGATAGAACGATGATTTTACAATGAACAAATTTTGTTGTTTATTAAATTATTAAATTGTGAAAAAATATCTTGGCTACCCTTTATATCAGTTCTAGCAAGAATCACTAATGATTTGAAGGTTTCTTGTTTTTTTATAGATAGGTTGCACTCTTGAGAATGAATTTATGTAATTGAATTCTTCTAGAATTGACAGTATACGTTTTTTACACTAGTGCAATTCATGTATGTAATTTCTTTATTTATATTCTAGAAGAATGGTGTCTTACCAATCATATAAACTATTGTATGGATGTAAGGATAAATATGATCCAATCTTTTTAAAAACCAAGATAAGGGTATATTTGTAATCTTACATATTTATTATTAATGTTAATTAACGATATCAAATATAATCCCCTATAATTATAGTATTTACCTTGATTTTCTCACTAATCCCAATTATCTTTCTCCATCTCTTTCTTTAAAATCATTTTAGGCACCACCTTCGTTGACTAATACCATCAGCCACCATCGCCCCCATATGATCGACTACATCAGGAACAAGAGAATGAACAAGAAGGCTTGATTAAAAAAAACTTTAGTCAACTCCATCAGATTCTCGGGGATTGATTTCGGATCACCCTGGTTTGTGCACCGATTGTGCTATGATGTGTCGTATATTGTACGATGATGTCATGAGGTGTAACCCCAAGAACGATATTGGTTTAATAGGGAACACTTTGTTCTTTCCAATTAATGGACATGGATGTATGCTCCAGTATGTTTTTTTTTTAATCAATTTGAATCAAAGGTGTCGTAATGGATGTTCATAAGGAACAGTCAATTCATAATGTTTATTTTTAGAGGCATTCTTACCGATTAAAATGTACTCTATGTAGGAACGATAATTCTAGTGACAATCATTCTTTAAAAAACGATACTTTGAACAATGACAATACTGAAGAAAAAAAGATGTGCTACCCATGAAAACTCTATATCTCACTGAAATTGCAACCAATGAACACTCTCTATAGCTAACGACATAAGTGATCCGGTCCCATTCTTATTTAATTCTTATTATTTGTTGAGCTATTTCGGTATTATCTCTTGTCATTGAACTAGTATCACATCCGCAAAATAAAAATATTAAGAGATCAATACCCATTATATCACACTATGCATACACTTTTCACATTTACAATATAACAAAAATATCAAATCAAAAATAATAAACCTACTTGTTAACAATTCTAATAGAATTCAGGTGTTTATATGATTGGACACCATTCTTCTAGAATATAAATAAAGAAGTTACATACATGAATTGCACTAGTGTATAAAACGTATACTGTCAATTCTAGAAGAATTCAATTACATAAATTCATTCTCAAGAGTGCAACCTATCTATAAAAAAACAAGAAACCTTCAAATCATTAGTGATTCTTGCTAGAACTGATATAAAGGGTAGCCAAGATATTTTTTCACAATTTAATAATTTAATAAACAACAAAATTTGTTCATTGTAAAATCATCGTTCTATCATCAGTGGCGGAGCCAGACTCAAAGCAAAGGGGTATCCTAATTTTTTTTTTCCGGGTATCACCGCAACGGCTGAGCATGAGGCGGGTCGGATCAATTTTGACCTAAAATCAAACCCAAATCTGATAGCCACGGTTTTGAAACTTTTAAAACCAAACCAAACTCAAACCCATCAATTCGATGTTATGGTTTTCAGCTTGTACATGAAACTTTTGAAACTTTTAAAACCAAACCAAACTCAAACCCATCCCCGAGAATCTGATGGAGTTGACTAAAGTTTTTTTTAATCAAACCTTCTTGTTCATTCTCTTGTTCCTGATGTAGTTGATCATATGGGGGTGATGGTGGCTGATGGTATTAGTCAACGAAGGTGGTGCCTAAAATGATTTTAAAGAAAGAG